AAACATAGCTGAACTGATTTTGCATTGTCTCTTGGAGTTCCTTGGGCTAGGCCTGACAGGTCCAAAATAAGGGAACTTGGATGCTGCATTCAACTGGGGTGGGGGGGAGAACACATGTTGCTATCCATGCCTTATATTATATTAAAAAGATATTTTAAGTATGCTTTGATCTGGTGATTTACTGTGGTAAAAGAAACAGAAAAGAAGAAAAACATTCTTACAGATCCCTGATTTGGATTATGAGAGAAACATATGGGGCAAAGGGGGCTGTTATATGAATAATAGTGGGAAAAGAGAAGGGGTGGTTAACCCTTATCTCTCTGTGTCGTTTTCCTATTAAAATGACCCCTACCCCAGTGCTATTTCCCCTGGGTTTAGATCTTCAGAACTAGCAGTTACAGGAGAATTTTCACTGAGAAAATGTATTTTTTATCAATTTGACTTATGCTCTGACTTTCTACTCCAGCCAATATGTAAGCTGACTAACACAATTAAAAAGAAACCCCAAAAGCCACATAAATAGCTATAATTAACATTAAAATTGATACTATAATCAACTAATAATGAACAACCTGACAGAAGGGGTACTTCTTTACAGACTGGCACGTGAAAGAAAAAATTAAATCCTCCTTCAAACACATGTGTTGATCAGGCATGGCATATTATGGTATTTGATCTTCCAAGGTTGGCTACATGCGTGCAGCACGTACTGGTAAACCTAGAACAAACAAAAGTGAAAATAGGCATGTACCCTTTTCTTTTAGAAATCTGTTTCCATGACAACCCTGTTCTTTCCCCCTTGGGATGGGAACCCTTGCAAAGTATAACTGTGTTTAGAAGAAAAGCAAACCCAGCATAGGTTGATATTTAAGCATCAAGTTCCTGGAACTCCCATTTTCTTCAGTGGAACTTACGTGTGCATTGTTTCCAATGTTTTGGACTGTACATAGAGAAATACACAAACATATGTGTCACCCTCGTCACTAACCTATTTTTCATTCTGGTGCATTTGCATTGGGTATATGTTCTCTGTAAAATGCCAGTAGTCACAGGAACAGGATATGAACCTTTTAAGAGTTGCATTTACTCTATTTTACTAAGCTAAAGGAAGTCCTCTCAAAGGGTAGAATTACAAATTGCCTTTTTTTCCCAGGTGACATCCTCCCCTCATTTCTCCATGATTTAATTAAAACTGGGGAGCAAGAGACTATTTATTCCTATATGTTAAAGTGAAGAGGGGGTATCTTGGTGAGAAGCTGTCATTTTCAGAAGCAATGCAGCTATACTTCTAACCAAAAAGAAATAATTCATTCAGAAGCAGAAAGATAGTCAAGGAAGCCAACATTGCCATACAGCACTTCCAGTCTGCTAGTGTTTCTACTATTCAGTCCCTCCCCAAATCCTCAGATCCAGACCCCAAATGGCTCGACTGCAGGCAGTGGAATTTGTGAGTAATCTCATTATAGCCCCTCTTTTGCAGCACTGCAGCACTGACTGAAATGCCAGACAGGCTTGGAACCCTGGCATTTTGCTAAATTTGGAAGCAATCTTGATTGATTAATTGGTCATACTACAGATGGTGTCATTGGAAGAACATATGTGTAATGGTATGTGGGAATGAGGGGGACACGGTGGCGCAGCGGCCTAATGACGCTGAAAGTTGCCGGCCAGAAATGGTCGAC